AGAGATATTTGAACAATCGCTTTGAATTCTCGCATTTCTCCAAACGGATTTACAAGCGGATCCCAGTTTACGCCAATGGAGCTCGAGCCAACTCCCCGCTTTGTCTTTTACTATCTACTTAGAGAGTTTGTAAACATCTTCACGGCGGAGTCTTCTCGCGGAGGAGATTTAATTGCGCGCGCGCTGTGCCGGCCGTCGCGCCGTCCGCGGTTTCGCAATGAGGAAGTATCGCGAGGATCCGCATTAATCAGAAATCAATCCGCGTATTTACCGGACAAAGGAGGAAAGCAGCTCCGGCTCGCGACTGGCGCAGTGAGGATATCGTCACGCGCGACTGCTTCTCGCGCTTACTTAATTTACCCAGAAGAAACTAAAATTTTCGCAGACGAGTTTCCTCATTGTTATCTATTTTTATCGCAAGACTGATCGGAGTAATCGCAGGGTGACACGGACGGAGGATACGATAGATCCTGATTTTTTTTTTATTTTTACTTTTAATTTATCATCGAAATTATTGAATTTTCGTTAACAATCGATTTCCTTTCTTCTTTACAAAAAAAAGTTCTATTGAAAGCCGTTAATGTATATATAATTTCGTAACAAGAATAATAAATTCAGATTGTTTAAAAATAAATTGAAAAAAAAAAAACTTTCTTATCCAAACGATATATTTTTCATAAAAAATCGTATTCTTTACAGAAGAAAAGTATAGCGATGTTTTCAAGAACACAAATCGATTTTGTCATCGTCATGTGTTCAAACAAACGCGTTTATCGTTTTACGCGGAAAATGCATTTTCCTTTTATCTTCTGACGCATTAAGTAACTTTAAACTTGCATGCCACGGGCACATGAAAATGTTACATTTATTCGCGATTAGTCAGAAACTCGCCGAAACTATACGCACTAAGAAAAATATCTAATCAAACATGGATAAACTAGAGGATTCTTATTACATCAATGAGAATTATCGGTTATCTCAACACTGAGCGAAATATTTCGATACATATAACTGTTTATTTTGTTGATATGTGATTAACAAAAACTTTCTTACTTATTCATTTAAAAATTGTGTTGTTCTAGTAAACATTTAGTTAGCAAATTTTGGTTAGAATAGAAAGAAAGTTCTTGTTAGTCACATATCGACAGAATAAATGATTAAAATTTCTCTCAGTAAATTAGAATGTATACGGAGAAATATGTTTAGTTAGAATTAACTGGAATTTTGGGGTAAAAAAATGAACTTAAAATTCTGATTAGAATTTTAGTAGATTTAATCAGAAATTTAGCAGACTTAATTATAATATTTATACTTAATAATTCTGAATCGTTCATTTTCTACCAGAGAATTCCAGTTAATTCAGCCAAACGTTTTTTTCTTTGTGCTTATAATCGATATAATCAGAAAATTTTGTCCATTTTCAACCAGAATGCCAATCGACATCCAATCAGACATTTTTCTCAGTGCGATCTCGGTCTTTGGTTCACGATTACATTACGGACACGTGCGAACGAATCCCGCAGAAAATCTGAGAAAGAGAAAGAGAGCCGGTTTCGCCCGATGGCGGTGCCCGCACAAGACTCACGGAAATCTTGCGAAAGCCTCGAGCAGGTTGGGTATTACGCGCGCAAACTCGCTCGCTCGCGTTATGTAAATGATAACGCGCAACTTCCTCAATAACGATTAAGAAATACGAGCGGTTCCTACCGGGCTTGGTTTACGTAAACGTTTCCGTAGCGGCACAGTCTTACAGATTCCATCGATCTGCCGCTAAGCGACGTGCTTTCGTCTTTTTCCTCGCGCAGACTTTGTTCCTTCCGTCAGAAATCGCTGAAGGGCCCATTGAAAGCGGGAACATTTTTTCGAGCGATAGGATCGCGTTTGAATATATTTCGATCCGTTTCATCAGACATTGAATGTTTGAATGTCGGTTCATTTCCGTGCGATGTATTGTACATATATATACTTGCGTACTCGGAGCACTTTAATTTTCGCAGGAACTAGCAAGTAAACGTTATACAATCCCGCTTGCGTAACAAGCTGAGAAAGATATCGTAACATCTATTTATATCTAATAAATAACAATGCAAAAATGAGGCCTGTCTAATTTTGTCTTAGCTATCTTTTGAAGATGTCTATATCTATTCATGAACCTTTTAAATTTATACACATACACACACAATATTCTTCATTTATATATATATATATATATGAATCATCGAGAAGAATATTGCACTAGGAAGTAACGTCACCAAAGTAGTTTGGTATCTTAAAAGTAGGCTAAACGCCTTAATTTATCGTAGTATGTTAAATATAATTGTACCTTACGTAATTATGCTTAATTATAAACGTTAGCATCAAATGGCAGCCGTTTAGAATTACACCAAGGTATGCTAATAGTCTATAATTAGCATTTTAGAGTTCACCTTCGTGTGATAAGATAAAAAAATTGCTGCAAAATTATATATATGTAACTGTTATTACTATGTCCTCCTATTTTATTAATATTATTATAGCTATTCGTCTATTGTTTCCATATATGGATTTGAAAAAAAGTTAGATTTTGTGATATAATTTTGGGAGCGATCGAAAGATTAGTTCCTTGCGGTGACGAAAGCGATAATAACATTAGTTTACATTAAAAAGTCTTTTTTAATTACTTCGAACCAGACAAGATGTTTCTTATAAATTTTTAGATATATTGAAAACAAGTTAGATTTCTAGCACGTCAGGTTTCTGAAATAAATGAGCTTTAATATGCAAAAAAGGCTTTTTACGATATTTCATATTTTTTGTAAAAAAAAAGTGAACGTTAGATAGAAATTCTGATCAAAAGTCATAGATGTATTGTTCGACTTTGAAGAAAAACCTCGTATTTAAATCCTTCATAACACGACTAAAAAGATATTGAAATAAAAAGAAATGCTCTTTATAGGGGACAATACATTAACGCGACTTTTATTTGGAATTTCAAGATAACGTTAATCTCCTTTACAAAAAAAAAAAGTCAAATATATCGTTAAAGAAACTATTTTTTAGACATTATCTTGGAACCTCAATTGTTTTGGAAACTTGACTTGCGGTATCGTTTCCAGCATTCAAAAATCTATATATAAAAAAAAAAAACCTAGTCCGATTCGAAATAATTTTTTATCGCAAACTAGTGCGATCGAATCGTTCGCGTTTCGAAGACAACGCGGTTATTTATCCGCCGCGCATCCGCGAGATGAGGTTGACGTCAGCAGCTAGTGTTAATTAAATTCCGCACGACCGGTTATTAACATCGCCGAGCGGATTAAAAGCGAGGCCGGGCTTTTAGCGGATTTCCGGGTTTCGCGCGTCGCGGCGCGCCGCACCGGAATTAACTCCTCGTGCTCGGATACGGTAACGAGCCGCGAGCTGCGTTTCGCTCCGCTCCGCGTCTTTCGAGCGCGGCTACGAGGAGAATCGAGGAAGAATGAAAATGGACCGGAGTCCGTTGAGGTCCGTGGCTATGACCTTTCGCTTATGAGAGCTCGACGGTCGCCAACGGACACGCGCGAGACGCGAGGAATAAATCACAGGATTACGATAGAAAATATATTGGGAATTTTTCCAAAAGAATTGCTGTTAAAAGGAATTATTAAGGAAAGATAAAATATAAAGTAATTTTTACAATTAAAGACCTCGACATACAAAGCTGAATATCGTTGGTACTATAACTGAATGTAAATCTTTCTTTATTCACGAAGTAATTTTATCGATTATAGGTTCTTGCTATTAATAACACTGGATTTAAAATCATTGACTCCAGTTTAGCGTCCGCGAATACGAGTAAAAAATAAGAGTAGCTAAGAGCACGTAAAATATAATTGGTTTAAAACTATGGCTATAAAAACGCGTTTTTGCGTCCAGTGCATTTTTAGGCGTAATATTTTCTGCTTAAAGTGTAACATTTGGCGAGTGTCAAAAATGGTTGCGTTCAGCAGAAAAAAATGCCGCTTTGCAATTGTTGTAAGATTCATTAATATGATTCCGTTGTGCATTTAAAGCTGAACTGTTAGATATCAAAAGAATAATGGTAACCCAGTCCCTTGAGTTAAATAACATTTTGTGTTATTTTTAACTTCCATGTGTGTCAAAATATAAATCAATACATTCTGTGGTTAGAATCAAAGTAAATAAACGACATTTATATTGACGCATATATATAGGTAATAATCAATTAAATTTGATATATATTTTTAACTTAATTTGTTTAATTCCATTGTTTTAGTTAAATTAATGTTACATTGCAGGAGCAGTGGCGATCTATAGAAATAATTAAAAATTACTCAAATTGACAGTACAAATCTGTTTTTATAGTTGAACTAATATGAACACTTTTAAAACTTAAAATAGAGTAGATGTATATTCAATATTTGTCAAAAACGAGAAAAAATTTTGGTATAGGAATAAAATCTTTATATAAATTTAAAAGAGCAGTAGAATTAGAAGCAGGAAATAATTATATTAAAGAATACAACAGTTGAGAAAAGTTGATTTTTTTGCTGAATGCAAGCCAATGTCATTTACAGGCGCCAACAAGCATTGAGACAGTTGGAGATTAAAAATCAAAAGTAATTAATTAAAAGTGCGAAATTAGAGAATCAGAATTTATTCAGTTTTTAGAACAGTTCAAATCGAGCTCTATCAAGTTTCATCCACCGCTTGATTTTCGTTAAATCTTGCTCAAACGAGTTCCGCGAAACGAATTCGTAAAACATCAATTCCAAATTCCGGAAGGCCGTTCCACGAAATGTAGCGGTGACAGCGGGGATTTGTTTACAATCGAGGAGGAATCGGAACTATACAGGAAGAAGCGTCGAGTGCGACGTACGCACGCGCACGTCCAATTGTACACAACAAACAAACAAACACATACACACACGCGCGCGCGCGCACACACACACACACACACACACACACCGGAAAATTTATTTCGTCGAATACAAGTAAAATATCCGCGGGCGAACAATTACCTTAATCGCTGCCTCTGCTTCGTCGTCGTCGGTTCTCCCAGCTGTGTCGATAAAAATCCTTTGCCGGGAACGGGAGCTGCTGGAGCTAATTATCACTTGTCGTCGTAGTCCAACCAGACACAAACCATTCCACCGTTCATCGGGTAAATTTCGTCGCGCTCCTCCTGGTGTGCGATATGCACGCACGCACGCACGCACGGACGCACGCGGCGCGGCAATCAGGTCGCGGCGGGCGGCATCCGTGCGCGCGGCACGGAAAGAGAAAGAGAAAGAGAGAACGAGAAAGAGAAAGAGATTATCCCGCGAGGAAACTTTTCGCCGCGGCACACGTGAACACGTGATAGGGATAACAATCTCGTCGTATCAGCCGCGAGTGGTTGCGCTCGTTACGTTATCACAGATGAGAACGGCAAAGAATCCTCCGGTCATTAAGCACTCCCGGCTTAGCGCACTTGTGTCACTTTGTCGATTGTCTCTGACTCCTCGCGGGCTACTCTTCGGCTACTCCGGTTGCTTCCTCCGGAGTCCTCTCCACGACAGGACACACAACGGGGGAAGAAAGACGACGCGTAATCGTTACGCGAGGACGCGCGCGCGCGCGCACGTATACTCGACACAGCTGTCGCGAGTGCGATCACCCTCGTCGTCGATACGGCAACGCGCGCGGAAGTCGCGGATGTTTGCGAGTGCAGAACAAGCTTCGTATCTCACGTACTGTCACCTTACGAGGTAGGCGAGCGACTGATCCGACAGCCGCTGTAGGAAGTGTCGAGTGAAGGTTGCCGCCGGACGCGCGACACCCCACCTCGTCTCTCCGGCGCCCACCCGCTGCGCCGCGATGGTGCGCGGCGAGACAACGTCAGAACAAGTGGAACCGCGCGGCGACCATTGGCGGCTGACGCCGTCCAATCGCGTGCCGCCGTTGGCGTCGCGTCAGCGCCAGCAGAAATAATCGAACCGTAGTCGAGTGGCGAGTCGAGTGGGGAGAATCGCCGCCAAGTCGCCACGTATCGGAGGAGAAAGAGAGAAACAAGAAGAGAGAGGGAAAGAAGATCCCCGACCGACTTCCTCGTAGCTTCCTCGTAATCGTGATCGTGATTGTCGTTAAGTTAACCCCGACCGATCGTTTCCACTTGCGCGAAAAGTGAAACAACACGATATAAGTAATAGGCGGCCACGGGATGACTTTTCATTTCCGTCCTCCTCGCCCGGTTCTGAGGAATTCACTTGCGTGAACTTTGCAACTCTCCCGCGCCGCGAACGACATCCGCGGACACGTTCACACTTCACGTTGAGATTCAAACGATACGCCGTTAGTCGTTAGCGCCACTTGACTTCCACGAAAAGTTCGAAATAGCCGTTGATCACATCGATGTTCGATTTCGCACCGAATTTTTACTCGCGGACGGCCGTATACTTCACGGATAAATCGATTTTCTCCATTAGATACACGGTAAGATAAATATTTGATATACAATAGCGTACATTTTTCGTAGCTGTTCTATTAGCCAATATTTCAACTCTCTAACCGCATTCGAGAGTTCCGACTAAAATGGCGAAATATACTTGGAAAATTGTGGCCTCTCATAATGACTGCGTTTCGTAAAGCGTAATGCGCATGATGTATTATTTTGTTCTTGTTTAACATTCAAAAATACAACAAGGATAACTACATTATATGCGTCACACTCTTTACGGAAAGTAGTCAATTGGTTAGTTCGCGTTACTTGAAATCCTCAAATATTTTTGGACTTAAAATGAGATAGATACATATTTGGACGTTAAAAAGAAAGAAAGCGAAGATGCTGAATGCAAAAAGTTCATGCAACGCGATCAGTTTTATAATGTTTTCGTATGACAGGCAATTTTTTAAGTAGTTTTAAAAGTACAATGAAAGAAAAATCTGCAGGTTGCATTAATTGGAATTCTGATTGAAAATCGACAAGTAAGAATTTTCTGGTTGAATCTATTAAGGATGCGTTTCGATATTCATTGCCAGTGCTAAAAATCTGTAGTAAATTTCTGTAATAAATTTTCAGAAGAAGCGGCTTAGAATTCCAACTAGAATGCTGTCCAGGAATATCAGAACGGAATCAGGAAGGTAAGCATCCAAAATTCTGTCTCAGAAATTCTCTGAAATTTTAACCATAAATAAGATAATAAAGATAATAAATAAGATAAAAAAAAAATTGGTTTTGCTGATAGAGCTCCAAAAAGGGAATTCTTATGTCTTATTTATTATCTAGAATAAGATATAACGAAAAATTTTTCGTTAATTGTCAGGCACATTTTTTGCTTAGTTTGTTAGATAAATCGACGTGTATTTATGTATATATATCCGGATATTTACACAAAAATTATTGTTAATCTCAAAAATGCTTTTTAGAGATTACAATTAAAAATTACAAGATTATATTTAAAAAAGCGTGTGAGATTAATAATATATACAAATAAAGTTTTGTAAAATTAATAAATGTCCGGATATAGATACGTCTAGTATATAAATTTGGATCTTACTTTGTGTATACTTAGAAAATTTCCGATCTTGTAATGTCAAGACTTTTGTTGTATTTTTTTAGGTATAAATCTATTTTTAGATATAAATTTCTTAAGATAAATAATAGACATTACAAAAAGTCACTCATGCGTGCGATGACGAAACGAATTTTTAGTGATAAAGATCATTTTCAGTTTAAAATATTTTCGACATTGAGATAAACTGTAAGCATATTCGATTTTTTGCAAATGTATTGCTTATCTTGATTATCTTGCTTTTTTATTATGTATCGTTATCACGTATATTTAATTAATTATATTTTACTGTATCCAGTTAGCCGTAAATAAGTTTGTGTTCGTAATCAATATATCGATTCTCATAATATCATAAAGGAAAATCGATATGGATATCATTCTTCGCTCGGCGCGCGGTTGTGTTAATGTTATACAATAAAAAATTAAATTTGCTAATTAATTGCGAGATAAGATGCGAATGGGAGGTAATCGAGTCTAATCGAATGATAACGCATTGTTACGTCAATTGTGTCCTATTCTACGGAATGATATAAATCTTGTTATTAAATGAATAACATCGGAGTTTCTATCGCGAGAGGTGAGAAAATAAAATTAATTTTTTAGTAGAAAAGACAAATTGGCGACCCGATTTTTTAATTAAATTATTAATTATCTATATGCAGTTCTATTTCTTGTATAAATGGAGAATAATCTCAAAATGCAGATCATTGGAGTTTTAACCGATAATGAAAAACGTTTACCGTATCGATAAGAAAACCACAAATGCAAATATCGGTCGTCGCGAATATTTAGCTCCGCGCGATAAAAAACAGATCAGGTGTTTATTTCATAAAATAAAAGAACTTTTAAATATCTCACGAATTATTCGTTATCGTGGAAAATATTCATTATTTATCACCTTAAATTGTACATAATTTAAGCTTCTTTTTTTTAATATCATAATCATACTTTTTTTGCGTTCAAACGTTCGCGACTTCTTTGCTTTTTCTGTTATTTATCGCGGTATGCAAAAGCCCGATCGGCAACCGGTTATTTCACGAATTCGTTCGTTCGTTTGCGATACAGCGAAACGTGTCGCACTTCGAACCCGTGAAAAAAAAAGAATAGCATCGAATCGCGAGGGGGGGGGGGGAATGCTTGTTAAGACAACACTCGTAGAGAGGCGGAGATATGGAAGGGAGGAATAAGCGAAAGATAACATAAACGAGATATAAAAATTTTAAACCGGTCGAAATGTTTGTTAGCTACAACGAAAAGTATGAAGTAAAGCTGCGATCAGAACTACTAGTGGATAATAATGAAAGTAATCGGGAGAGAAAATATTCATAAACTGTGAATTATATATATTTTAAAAAGTTATTCGCTTTGATAAATTTCAACCGCGCTGTTGTTGATCCGACCGAACTCATTAATCCGCCATAATCTCTCGAACAAACAAGTCTTTCTCCCTCCTGCTTCTCTCCTCCCTTCAACATAGTGATCTCACTCTGCTGCTGTTTTCTCGCTTATCTTAATTGTGGTAATGCGAAAAGCACCACAATTTACTGCCACGCGCGATGCACGTGGTTTTGATTTGAGATACTTATTTCCTCTTTATTGTATTTTATTATCATGACAGAGATAAAAATCGTCGCATGATTCATATCAGGGGACGAGATTTCTCGATGAGCTTGGAGTGGCTTCTTCCTTGATTAATATCTCAGGATATCAATGTACATTTCGGAGCATTAAATTATGATCGCAAATGAAATGTACGTATTCTATAAACTTGCTTTCGAAAGAAACGTACTATATTTATCGAAATGGACTTTATTTTCGTACGAAAACGAGATGATATCTCGTTGCGACATGCAACAGCATATTAGTTGTCATTTAATCTGCAGTAAACCTTGACCTTGCCAAGATAACAAGCCTAATTTTCGAGCGTATGTCATTGGTCGTGCATATCTCTCGCTTGTTCCTCGATTTTCTTCTATCTTTTTTATTCTTTCATGAAAAGTATTTAAACGCGACTTATAATTAGACGAGCTGGAAGTTTTAAAAACCATTAATTCGGACATAAACACCTTGAAATTATTGAGGAAAAGCTATTTCTAAATATCGTTCTTTTCAATAAGTTTGAAATATTAGATATAATAATATATGTATTGACAAATTTTCTATGCGCAAAGATAACTTCTTACATGCATCCTCTACAATATGCGGAGCAAGAAGTCAAAGTAAGAAATTGACAAATTACAAATTCGATTATTCTTCTTACATTTCATTGTTATTGTTATCGATTTTTTAGGGCCACTTCGACTCAGTCCGTTTAACTTTAATCGACGGTCAGTCCATTGGAATTGCATCTGTCGTTAAGCGAAATGACAAATATGATTCTAATGTATTAATCGTGGATCAAAGTTAGTCGAAGTGGCCGTAGTCACACTTTGGAAAATATTTTGGCTATTGTAATGGACTTATGCTTCACAATTTTTTAATTTATTGTTTTCAATAGTTTGTTGTATCATTCGTACCTGTTTCAAAACTACACAAAAATGGAAATCTGTAACATTTATTTTTGTTTTTAATTGGTTATTTCATTTTACGGATCACGATCACTAGGTCGCGAATTTTATTTGCATTTTAGTGATACGGAAAAGTTAAATAAACCATCGTGTTTTTGAAATTACCGTATTTTTGCAAAAAGAAAATATCTATATAAAATCTATATAAATGTTTCAAAAATATATGATGCTGCAAACGTTTTCGAATCTATCCGTTCCTTAGTATAGTAAACGAAGAGACATCGTCATCGTGAAAAGATCGTCATGGTAAAGATAAAAACACGGGATATGCCACGGGGTATGTCAAGACATTCCGGACAAAAACATTGGGCACTAGAATTGGTTAGGGACCATAGAATTGGTTGGTGTTCGTATAAGACGGAGCTCGACATAACAGGAAAAACTGGTTTTGTGGGTGTTCTTATACCTAAGAGCTACCTGTACCGGAATCTCTTCTCGCAACTTCTACTCGTCGAGTCCGGCAGTCTACTTATCTTTCCTTTCCTTCGGTATTCTTGCTTCCTTTCCGCTCTCTTGAGGACCGCCCATAATTCTCAATTCCTGATCGGAAGATCAACCAACAAGGAACCTCGGAAGCGAAAAAGAGACCGAGAGAACTTGTATATCTATACAAATCTGCACCCACACAGAGCGCCGCTTCTTTCGCGAGCGCAAAGGAATTTCCTCGAAGAATATGCATTTCGTGCATTTTGAAGCTCAATACGTTCGTAGGAGCGATAAAAGTAAAAACATTGAAGATTCATCAAAGTTTTGGAACTCAATATAGTTTCCGAAGAGTGCGCACTAAATTTGCTAGAAAAGTTACTGGAAAAAATCTGCGGCGAATAAAGATAAAAATCTTGAATTTAACGCTCATTAAACTTCCAATTTTTCGAACATTGTACATTTAATTTTTGAAACTTTTTTATATCGAAAGGAACTTATCTTCAAACTTTTACGTTAATAAGAGTACCAACCTATTCATTTTATCGATAGAATATTAGAGATACTTTAGACGTTACATTAAAACGTTTTGAACTATATTAACATTAAAAGGAGATAATATAAAGCAGACTAATTTCTTTAATGTTTTTCTTTAAATAAATTGTTTGTTTACATTATTAAAAATTGATGTCGATGTATGTAATGTGATAAATTTGTCATCTGAATTTTCTTATTATTCATAATTAATTGAAGTATATACTAGAAAAATTTTTACAAAGGATCATAAACTTTTACGTTGTCATATATTTTTTACGCTTTAATACTAATAGAAGCTTGCTACAATCGTGCAGATAATGGTATCCCTTGGACTAATTATAATATGTAGAACTGGAATATGCCTAGACAGCTGGTTGACTTTTAATGGTGATCGTTTTAAGGTTCGAAAGAACACGCACTTACCACTTGTAGTCCTCTCGAGTGGATTTTATTATGGTTTTCAAAGTTTAACGATAGTTTTGCTAAAGGGATTCCAACCGAGAGACGCTAAACGGCGTAAAATTGCTGTGCTGAAACTGAGATTTTATGATACACGAAAAAATTTTAAAGAGTTAGATATGTGCAAAATAATAAAAAAAAAAAAGAAAAAGAAATATTTACGAGAAAAAAAGGAAGTTCATGAATCTTAATTATTTCCGATTAGCTGACAGTTATCCTTTGTTAAAGATTTCGTTCAAGAGAAGAATTCAAAAGAGACCTGATCTACTTTTCTTTGTAATATCAGGATTTATGTTCAAGATATTTATCTTTGAAAGTATTCCGAACTACGTTCTTAGGAAAAAAGGCAATCTTTAAAATATTCTTTTCTTTTCAGACTTTACAAAAATTATCTAAATCTACATTCTGTGAAGAAAACATCTGTAGAAAATATCTTGAATTAAAAGAAAACGTACCGCCAGTACAGTTGAAAAACTTCTGAAATTTTTATAATGAGTGCACTAAATATATATTTTTTTAATGTACATAAACAAATATCCGTATTATTGTATTTAAAAAATTTTTTTCCTATGTGATATTTTCT